TTCAAAACGAGACCTTTCAAAAAAACCTCCCAAATGTAACATCACAAATCAGCAGGATCCTCCCCTAGCAACGCCACAGAAACCCAGCCCGTTACCTAGCAACGCCACAGATACCCAGCCCATTACCTAGCAACCGAAGTTCAGCTCCAAGACGTTTGGTCACGTTACCATCCAGAAACCACATGCTGCATTCTTGTTGGTTGTGCTGGAGGCTCCACTTCTGCTTTTCAAAGATGTACAGTTGTGTTATTGCGCATCTGTTTGCAGCCATTTTCACGTGCGACTGTAAACGTTGAGTTGGGGGGGTGTGGCCAGCAGCAGATTATTTGGATTTAAAGTGACAAGACGCCATAAAACAGCTGATTGTGACCTGAGCAGACTAACATTTTATTATCTAAGAATAATTTTATACACAAAATGTTATGAACAAGTTTTGTATAAACCTGTTAAAGGAAGCAGAGTGGTTCACCTTTAAATGAAGTTTCTGAGGGGTTTAAGTTGTTGGTGTATTCACTCCTCCAAAAAGGCGATGCCAACATCGTCTCCACGGTTGACATTTTGCAGAGCATCACAACACATTAAAGTTCAGAAATGATTCAGAGGTGAGCGCAGTGAACCCCAAACTGTGAGGCGACTTCTAAAAGCAAACTTGTCACAGCTGCTGTCCTCTCAGACCAGATGGAGGCGGATGCACGGGGCTCGTGAAGGTGGCCCCTGAGGGACCCCAGCCCATCCCCTCCTCACCCCTGAACCGGGGCTGAGGCAGGGCAAACGGACCTGCTCTCTGCCTCTCGCCTGCTGCGTAGGCCACTTCCCCCCGACTCTGCCTCCTATTTACCCGTTCCCTCCCGCGGCGGACGGTGCCTAAATGCCAGCACGTTCCACCTGGACTTAGCCAAGCCTGTCCCTCCTGCGAGGGGGGCGAACGTGACACGCAGCGCCGAGAGCGCTCACCCCTGACAGGAACACAATGGCCCAGGGCTTAGCTGGCTGCATGTCTGGGTACAGATAATGTTTTTAATCGTGCAAAGTGGAAAACAGCTTCCCAGAACAATGAGGAACTGACAGAGCGGTCATTGGAAAATATCTGCTAACTCCTCGGGACGCACCAACATGAAAACACACATTACTGCGAATGCAAACAAGTGGCATCCGCATTTCTTTCTCACATAGTTACAAAACGAGGAACATTTTCCAATGCTGTCACATTAAGAATGTAAACTTAAATGTAATTTTGAAAAGCACGGTAGTGGCTACCAGAGGTGTGTAGAGTATCCAAAACATGTTTTTACCCAAGTAAAAGCTGGGCTGGACAATGCGGCTGAAAAACTTGTGATATAAGGGTCTCATATCAGTTGATATCAATAATTATTAATTAGTTTTTTGTTTTAAATATCTGAAATGTGAGGTGACCTTTCCTACTTTATCCACAACCAACAAGGACGCAGCAAATGGTTTGTGGATGGTAACTCAACAACAAAATAGTCTTTTTCCAGCAGCCATTGTACAGCGCATACAGCAAACCAGCTGACCAAAATGTGTTAGAGCTCCACTTTGGTTGCTAGGTAACGAGTGGAGTTGCACTGTGGTTGCTAGGTAATGGGGCAGTGCCTGCGGATTCGTGATGTTACATTCTGGAGGTTTCTGAAGTGTCTCGTTTTCCAGACACCAAAAACTCGACCTCATTGCCAAAAAGTGGCTCGGTAGTCTTTTATTATTATTTATTTATTTATTTATTAGCGCTTGGGCTTTTTTGAAGTACAAAAACTTGCCGTAATAAATAAAATAAATAATAAAGTATATTTATATTTATATATTTGAATTGAGTTATTTATTCATAAGGAAATTTAGCATGACTTTCTTTACAGAAAGAAAACAAAAGAAAAATACATTATTTTCAGATCAACATCCACCTTTATATTTGGATAAAAACACCTTATTTCCACCTAATGTACAGAATAACAAACACTTTCTGTGTTTGCTGTATGCATCTCTCTATATTTATTTTCCTGTGCAGCTCGTTCCTCCATGCAGGCTGTTGTAGCCAATTACTGCTGCTAGCTGCTCAGATGCTGTCGGGCTGAGTGGCAGCCTCCCCAGCTCGCCTACATCTGGGGTGTGAGGGGTACGTGTCGCAAACACTCACACGTCCTAGAAATTCACTCTGTTTATCACCTGCTGACATTCATATTCATGTCACTATGCCTCTCTGGCCTGAGCGAGGATTCAGCGCCTCGCTGACCAGCACACTGTCTAAAACCAACCCTTCTCTAATGTATCGATACTCTGATTTGCAAAGGTAACAAAGCAATTCATGCATTACTGTTCAGTATCTTTACTGGGCTAGAAGTTTATGTAAAATAATCTATTCTAAAGCTTGAGAGAATTTTTAATACATAAATTAACGTAAATAAAGCACAAAACAATGTATTTGTGTTTTACTTTCTGCATTCTGTGAAATTAAATTTGCATCCATCAAGATAAAAACCTGCAGTATTTAATTTTTAACATAATCTTAGGAAAAGACTCTAAATATTTAACTTTAGGAAATATGTAGCCTGTTTGTCTTTAAATAACTGGATGCTTAATTACAGAGATCCTCAGAGCGTAGACTTTGGAAATAGATTAAAGTCAAACTGCAGATCTATCCAGAACCGGCCCATATGTTAGTTTTTGGTTTTGTTTTTATGATGAGGAAGATGAGGGCTAGAATTGCAAAACTGAACATTTGATTCAACAAATATGAGTTTTCCAGAAGCTGTAAAGAATTAATCTGTGACATTTAAACAGAGGAAGCAACTTCTTTTGTTTTTTTTATAGTGACCAACATTTTGAAAATGAGCTTCTCACTGTGGACAGGATCTGTGGGAGAGGAGGCTAATGCTAATGCTAGCACCTTCTCTGTTTTTATACGACTTGTTGATAATTTGGAGATTTCATTTAATCGTACATTGACAAAACTCAGCTTTTCTCAGCTATTGTTGTAGATCATACTGACATGTAGACTGATAGAAAAGCTTTGCATCATTAGATTCATAATATTACACTTTTCCAGGTTTAGTTCTGTGGTCCAGATTTACTTTCATTCTATCTGAATCGTATTGAATTTTGCTTTTCTGTGATGAAAACATTTACTTTCTTCAGAATTAAGGAAAGGTCACAGATTTTTTTGGTCCAAATTATTTGGATATCTCTTCCCAGTTTGCAGATAACTTCAAAGCATATACCTAAAATATTTAAAAGAAAATCTTGCACATTGGGAAGTCTATTAAAATAGTCAGTTACAAGCATTTTTAAAGGACGGATTAACAACTACACATGAAACATGATTAGTTGGAGGTGTTTTTTACATTTTTAATAAATCACTTCTAAAATATCTGCAATTGAGACATTTTCTTATTTTTATAACCAACAAAATAAGCCAAAACTTTCTCTTCAATTTCTTAAAGTGACACACCGACAAGAACTTCATCCAATTTATCGAATCAGTCATGATTTCTCTTTAAGAATTATGAAATAAGCAGTTATAAAACATGCCGTCTTAAAGTTACAGACGATGTTGCTCATATAATTTTGAAATTTTTCCATCCATCCTTTGATGTTACTGAAACAGTCAACTCCGGGTGCGTTCCCTGGACAATGCAGACGTTTCCCAACTTTTCCCAAATCCAAAATATTTAAGGACAGAGAAGTCGCAACTCAAACAAAAGAAGCAAAATTCTTCATTTCTCTCGTTTTTAGATGATTATGAAACTGTGCTGAGCTTCTCTTTGCGGCGCACGTTAACCTTCGTGATGGGACTTGGCCCGTGTTGGTGTGTGTTTACTCATGTGTCTGTTGGCTGGTGTGTGTGAATCACAGGGGGCTTCTCTTCCCTGTTTGGCTCAGAGTTTGGCAGCCAGGCGAACGCTGCCATGCATACGGAAACATGCAGGAGTGGGCCTGGAATCAAGGTCAGGCCTGGAAAACGATGTAGGAACACTCGTAGGACCTGACTTTCTGCTGAGTTTGGCATTGTGTGTGCCGTCCCCCGAGGCCGCGGCCTGGAGTTTCCCTTCACAGTCAGCAGCACCAACCTGAAACGGTCTGCTGGAAGACGAGTCAGGGAAAATGTTTGGAGACTCCTGGTGTTCTGGGAAACTACAACCTCTTTTGGCAAGAATGCCTCCAACCTCTGTAAAAGATTAAAGCTGACCCGTTATGCTTCCTTGAATGGGTTTATGAGCTAAACAAAACATGTTCGTTACATTTTTGGGCCAAAATCATAATTAGATGATCAGATTTTAGTCCTTTAAAATGAGCAGTTTTAGGGTGTCTGTCACTTTAAATCCAAATAAGCTGCTGCTGGCCACGCCCCCAAACTCAACGTTTACACTCGCATGTGAAAATGGCTGAAATTATACACAATTATACAACCTTAAATATTTGAAAAGTAGAAGTGGAGCCTCCTGCACAACCAACGAGAAAATATTTAAGAGTAAATTACCTAAAAATATAAGAGATTTTAAAAAGTATGTTTTCTTTCAAACTGAAATCTTATTTTTGTAAAAAAAAAAAAATAGTATTATCTAGTTTCATGTGTGTAATTTTTAAAATGTGATGTCTGACTAACTGTGATAAGTCAACAACAAAACACTTGGCTCTTCCAGCAGCCATTGTACAGCACGTCCAGCGGTAAAACCAGCTAACCAAACGTGCTGGAGCTCAGCTGTGGTTGCTAGGTAACGGACGGAGTTCTGCTGTGGTTGCTAGGTAACAGGAAGCGCCTGCTGATTTGTGACATTACGGAGGTTTTTGAAATGGCTCGTTTTCCAGACAAAAAAAACATTAAATTATTACGAAGAAACAGTTGAGACATAAATGGAGATACAAAAAACTCTGAATTTTGCATGATCTCTAAAACCTGCTAGACAAAGAGCATTCTTCCCCAAACAAATTTCTCTGCATGTTAGTGACATACAGTTGTGTTGAAATCAGTCACATAATAGCAACATTATCCAATCAAAATGTTCAAAAACATCCATTTTACTCTCAAAATGTCAGGAGGACACTGACAGAAAGTACAAAGACACAGAGATCAGAGAGGCCCCATACCACTTTTGTGCTGACCTTAAAAAGAGAGGCGCACTGTGCAAACATCTGGTCCATCAGCTGGATCCTATGCATCAGCGGGCACAGGGACACACTGGGACAGGTTGGCGGCTGCCTTTGACAGCAACAGTTAATTTCCAACATAATCAATTTATGTGCAGCTCCATAATAACCATCTGTGTTCAGCATGAGGAGGACAGTCCTGAGGAAGAAAACGGCGCTGGTTGCTCCTCTTCAGCGACGCCAGGAGCAAAAAAGAGGAGAAGGAGGTGGAGGAGGCAGGAAACTAAGAGAAGAGGAGTAAAAATGCAAGTAAATCTAGAAAGAAAGAGTTACTGATGAAAACATGGAGCCGAGATAGAACAGGAACTAAAAGTCAAGGAGAATTTAAGGGTCATATATCATCATTTTTACAACCTTTCCTTTGTTTTCAGGCTGGTAGCTAGTTGATAATTTTGTATTTGACAAAAGCATGAAAGAAAAAGATGAACACAAGGCACAACAAGAATGAGCAAGGCCGCTACATTTGGAAGGCTGAACTCAGGAATCAGCGAACAATAAAACTTTAGCTCCATTAGCACTAAATTAACGTTTCCTGATAAATTCTAAAGCACCAATTTATCTTACTGTTTTGTAAACTTTTGTGTTGTGACACGTGGTTGAATTTAGCACTTTAGCATTAGCTTCTCCTGAATACTCTGTTGGAATAGCGCATTAGCATTAGCAGAACTGATGTTTGCGATTAGCGCTTTAGGGCCGACATAACTAACTTTTTAGTTAGCTGCGCCCACCGATGTGGATATGGATGATGACTGGCAGTGTGGAGATAGTAACAACTACGACACAATAAGGAGTTTTTAAAATGAATATTAATAAGTTGATTTATCCATTGAGGAGGAGGAACTCTAAATGAGAGCAGTAGTTTGGAGACGCAACCAACCAGAACTCTATGAAGGGATTTAAAAGCGCTCTGCTGTGAATTAATTCAATGCTAGCTGCTGTGCTAGCACAGTTAGACCAGCATTGTATTAAGCAATAAAACATCCTGTGTCCAATTTAAAAAGATAGTCCAGTCATCATCCATATTTGCATCGGTGGACACTGCTAACTAGAAGTTAGAGGACTAATCGTAAACATTAGTTCTGCTAGCGCTAACGCGCTATAGTAACATATTATTCAACAGAAGCTAATGCTAGAGCGCTAAATTCAACCATATGTCAAAGACACAAAAATTAGCAAAACAAAAAAGTAAATAAGTGTTTTAGGATTTATCAGGAAAATTTAACTTAAGTGTGACAAACATTTTCAAAGTTAGTAAAAATGCTCAGTCACTAAGTGAAAAATTAGCTCCTGTATTAGCGCATTAGCGGGTTAGCAGAAGTGTTATAAAGAGAAACTTGGCTACAGTATATTTTATTGTCATAAAACGTTTTAAAAAGTAAATAACTGCTTTGAAAACAGTGAAAATGTTTCAGTATTTGTAGGTGTAATGGTGAGTAACACATTTCCCGTTTAATTTTCTGGGTCAACGGGGTTAAACACACCAGATGCAAACACCTCAGATAAAGTTGGTCTCCTCCACTTTTCCCCGTTTTAATTTGGTTTTCCTACAAGGTTAGCTCGGTTGGCACTGGAACGCGGCTGTATCCTCATCCACCTCCGATGTCAGGATTTTCTGGGGAGGCGTCACTCAGGCGGTTCCTGAACACCTTGGTGAGCCAATTACACCGCAGCTGTCAGAGCCAATAGCAAGCGGCGCCTCACACTCCGACACCCACAGCTTGGCTGGCGTGAAACAAAACATGAAAACGGAATCCGGCTCTGGCGACCTTTCACCCCGCAACATGCAATTTTCATAAGAGTAATCAGCATAATGTCCCGGCTCCTGCAGATCGCCTCTGACTTGTTTTGACCTCAAAGATTTTTGCATTTTGAGATTAATTTAGTAAACAGAAGTGATTTAATGGCTTTGTAAGTTGGAATAATAATATATTTTAAATGATTCTGGTATGATTTGTTTCATTTTCAGCAAAAATTTTGAAATTTAGGGGCTCAAAAGTTAGCAATAGCATAGCATCTGATTATTTGTATTTCATATTTTTCCAAACAAAATGTATAAATTAGATAAAAAGTTTTTGAATGTCTTAGACTTTTGTGTAAACTAACCTCAACAAATATATTTTTAAATTACAAGAATAAATTCATATTAGAAAAATAAAGATGCAATATTACCAGCAGAAAGTAATAAATAAATAAAAAGTTGTTTTAATGAGAAGAGCTTCTATAGAGCGATTCTTTCTTTGAATAATTTGACTGATTATTTCCTTATTTTTAAAAAACAATACTCCAGTATAACTTTACAAGACGCTCAACGTTCCCCGTTTTAAAAATTTCTAATAAAATTACTGCTTCATTCTCCTAATATTATGACTTTATTCTGGTAACATGATCATTCTCGTGTTTTGTCGACTTTATTGTTGCACAACTATATGTTTTTTCACTTGTTTGACTATTTTCCTAACCTAATTCCTGTAATATTTTGACTTCATTCACATATTTAGATTTTTTTTCTCATAATATTTAGACTTTTCTCGTAACATATTGAGTTTCTTCCTGTCATTGCATTTTATTTCTTTACCCAGCCCTAATACGAAGTATTAATAGGTACAATTTGAAAATTCTCTGTAACCGACATGACTTCCTCCGTTACGCTTTATGTCTCATTTTATGCTGTTGCTTTATGTCAGCAGCGGCATTTCCATTAGAAATGAGAACAAAACTTTGACAATTTTCAGTTAATTAAAAAAAAAACACAATTTCACAATTGCTTTGTTTTTATTAAACAAGAAACAATTAAAATCAGACATTACGTTATAAGTCATTAAAACCCTGCCATCCTCCTAACACTTCCTGTTGTCTTCTTCTTCATGAATGATAAAAAAAATTGTCTTATTTTGCAAAATAAACCAATATCAATGTCTTTTTAAAAAAAGTGTATTTCCAAACGTCAAACTGTCAGTGGAAACAAGTTGAGAGATTTACTTCACCACTTTCACGCTGTTGCTATAGTAACCATACCTAAACACTGATTTTCTGATATTCTTCTCTTTCAACCCAAACAAACGGTAGCTGAAACCATCAAAGCAAAGCTCAGGTGTTTAAACGGGTCCTTAAAAATATAAATATATATATTTAATCTGCTGCGCCGTCCATCCAACCTGTGATGCATTATACATGTGCTGCATGAATGTCCATGTGTCCCTGTACATCCTCCGCCGTCCTAATTGACATGCATCAGGCCTTAGCAGCTGTGAAGCTTTCTGAGCGTGTGTGTGTGTGTGTGTGTGTGTGTGTGTGTATAGCTCTCAGCAAAGCCCTTGCATCCTCTAGGCCACCTGGACATAATGGCCTTCAGCTGCCACCATCACCACCAATACAAGCAGCAGCAGGAGCCGAGAGAGAGAGCCATTTCCAACACATGCATTCATTTTCTTTCTATCAAACATGGACCTCTGCTGTTGTGTGTTTGGCAGTGTGCTAAAAAAACGAACAAAAAGGAAAAAACACAGGTTCCACGTTTAGCATACAAAGGCTGTTTTCTTTCAGGTCTTTAAACATGTCCCTAAGTCAAACTGGAAAAACCAGCAGTCTGTCCTGGATTCTAAAAATGTGGATTTTCTTTGTGGTTTTAATGAATTTTGGGTCATTTAGGAGTTTAGAAAGTTTTAAAATGGTCACCTGATTCTGAATCCAAGGTAAGGAAATCCTGGACATCCAGAACCAGTAAGAGACCAGGGACTTACCAAGTCACCTGGAAGGTTTCGGAACAACATTTTGCTTTTCCTCCCAAACTTTTTCTCTAATCTGACTTTTGGTAAATTAGTTTAAGGTTTGTATAATTTAGTTTTTATTCGCTCGCCTCTGAGCGGTGTTTGTAATCTGTATTCCACCTACAACCTTCAGTCTGGTTTGGTTGAAGAGAACTTTGACCGGAGACCGCTCCAAAAGCAGGAAGTGGACTACAGCACAGGGCATTCTGGGTAAATGCAACCAAAACAAACCTAGGAGAAATGAGTCGTGGTTTTTAGCCAAAGACTAAAGAGAAATCCTCCAAATGCTAAAATCTGACGCCAATCCGTTTTTGTTTATATTTCATGAAGAAGGAAGTTGCGCTCAGTGAGGTTTTTGTGTTGCTTCCTTCAGTGGTTCTTGGTGCAGCGCCCCCACAGGCCAGGTGGGGAACTGGTTGCTCAAAGGGTTTGGTTGGTTTGAACCTCAGCAGCTGAAAATGTAACAAATGTTGCGTTTCTCCCCCAACCAAACTGAGTCTATCAGGTATGAAAACACCCTAAACTTCAATAATTCATAAAAATATTTGTGTTTTAAAGCTTAAGTTAAGGATACCAGCTGAAAAAAACTAGATATATGCTGCTGCTGGGGTGTGTGTTTCTTTGAGGTTCCCATTTCCCTTAAAGAAGTTTGATTTCCCTGTCGGTGTCTCTTTGTTCATACTGAATATGTGATCTGTGTGTGTACATTTTGAATCCTCTTTTTTTCTGCCCTGCCTTCACGTCTTGATTCGTTTTTTTTCCTCCTATATCAGAAGCCTTTGATTCTGTCCTGCTTCTCAATTCTTCATGGAACCTCAGCATTTCAAAGAGTTTCCCTCTCCCCCTCCTCCGCCTTCCCAGGCGGAGCGCCGGCCAAGTCTGAGAGGGACTGCCCATCAGAGGTTGGCTGCTATCACAGGGGGGCCGCGTGTCTCCAATTCAGGTCAGCCTTGGCTACAGACGGGGACTTAAAAGCGAGCCACAACGCGTCCTGTGATCCCAGTAAGCACGCTTGTTAGTGGAATTGATAACGCACCCATACACCTGGGTCCTCTGAAGTTGGCATGGCATTTTAAAGGGGAAGACGGGGAGCCGGGGCAGCCAGCTACCGCGTGCGAACGTGTCAAACCAGAGAGAAGGAGGGATGAGTCGGGGGATGGAGAAAGGTCTTTTTGGCATGTGACGAAACAGAATATGTTTGCGAGAGCGACCTAGAACATTGTGGAATTATGTACAAATGCAGGGCATATGGCAGGGAACCATTCTGAGAATCCTAAATACGCTTTGGCTCCATCGTGTTACACCCTGTAATTTCTTCTTGTGAAAAGTTTGAACATGTAAATCACATCCGGACCGCCGCAGCTTCTTATTCGGCCTTCCAGGCTCCACAGCAGATCCTTAAACATGACAGTCGTGTGATTAAATGTTATTTTATCTGCTGAAGTTATTATTTCCACAAACACATTGGAAAGAGTTTGTGCTAAAGTGTAATTTTGAGTTTATTGCAAGTTTTCTGTAAAAATTGTGAAAAACATTAAGTGATGCTAACTCCCACCTGCAGGTGGCAGTGTTTCTTATTTCTACGCCACTGCTTCCTCTGCTTCACTTTCAAGTGAAAAAATCTCATTTGCTGCCATACAAAACGCAAATATTACAAAATTCCTTGCAAATATTTCTACGTTAGCTCCACAAAAACTTTTATTTTTATAACAAAAAAAAAAAAAATCACAAAATCCCTTCAGGGCTGATCAATGTTCAAAATGTCCAATATTATTTGATTTTAAGAAATACTTATTGAATGCAGAGATGGCTATTTATTAATATGTTAGCCGTTTGTTTATGGGTTTTATCATTACCTTCTGCCACAACTACCCTGCAAAAACACAAAATCTTAGCAGGTAGATTTTTCTAGTGCACACTTTTATAAATTAGCACCACAAAATCCTTGATTTTGATTACAAAAACAAACAGAAAAACAGTTGTGAAATCCTGGAGAGACTAAATGTTAAAAATGTTCCACATGACAGAAGAGACAGATATTTAGTGAACCTGATCAGTTTGTTAATGGATTTACATTCACAGTGTTGATCACCTCAGAGGATGACGGCCTGACGTCACGCTCCATGTTTTTCTCTGCGTGCGTTTGAAAAGTCGCCCCTGCAGCTGCTCCGACGCGCCTCGCCGTTCCCAACCCCAGCGACGGCAACGCGAGCGGCGCTCTCAGATGCCACATTTATGATAATCAGAGTATAATTCATTTATTGGGCCTACCTTTGCCATGTGTTGACCCCACGGCCATGTTGCCAGCTCACATCTGGCTGCGTGGTGCGCCGCGCGGGCCTGGATGGGATTTGCCCCCGGTGATGGGGCATCTGGGAGGCCAGATGAAGCTGAGGCTTGATGAGGGCTTTGTCTATTATGGATATGGGGCTTTATGGAGACATTGACAGCTGTGCATTGACAGTCTCTTGAGCAGGAGGCCTACTTCAGCAGTTGAGCTCTTTCTGTTGTCTAGAATGCAGAAAACAAACACAGAGCTCTAAATGTTGGACGGGTTCGGTTGGCGCCGCGCATTTTAGGGCAAGAGGTGAGAAAACTGGACTGCAAGGTCGACGAGTTCTTGGTTTTTATTTAACCTCAAAGAAATGTGTTCAAATTACTGAATCCCTTCAAAACATAACCAAAAACAACATTCATACTGCAAAAACACAAAATCATGCCAAGTATTACTGACTTGGCATGATTTATTCATGTTAAAGAAAAACAAGATCCGTCAAAACGATCCAGGACTCAGAAAAATGCATAACACGACCGCCATCATGGACATTTGTCCTTCTTCACCAAAAGATTCACAACAAACGACAAGTTTGGTTTGTATCTTCATCCCTGTGATTATTTCTGCAATGAAATCCACAGAATAAGGCGACCAACAGGAGCTGCGGAGTGAACCGCTTTCTGAGGAGCGTAAATCACCTGCAAAGAGTCGAGATCCTGCTGAAAAGTTACTCTAGTCTAGAAACAAAAATACTTTAGCTGCTCGAAGTCATGAGGCGCGTCTTGTTGTGCGACCCAACAGCGCTAAGTGACGAGTTCGAGGAAATAGACGCATCTACAGACCAAGCCGAGCCGTCGCGCTCCAACCTTCCCTCCTGCCCGCCATTTGTGAAGGATTTGGGGATTTCATAATTTCCTGTTCTTTCTGAAAAGGGGGATGGCAGCACCTGGTCCGCACAGCTGTACTTCATTTAGAGAGCAATTTGAAAAGAGCGAGGGGGAGAGGAGAGGAGCGAAGCAGCCTTGTCATTAAGGGCTCCAGAATGGCCTCCGTTTGTTAGACACATGGCACAGAGTTAATGCTGCTGAATGGGGAATAGGCGCTGTTGATGCTGTCACAAATTTCTCATAAGTGCTATGACATCTGAAAAAGCCACTCCAAGAGCAGGGAGGTGGGGAACAGGGGGCTTCAGATTTTCCTTATCAAAGACGTTTTTTTGTAGGTAATTGACAGCTGCGGCGAGGATGTAAGCATGTTTCTGACGGCTAAGATGTAGCTTCTATTTGTGTACCAGTTCATCCTCAAGTTTGTTGTGTACGCAGGTGAAGGCGTACACAACGAGTTGACAGTGAGAATAATAACCAGGGCGTTGGTAAACGAAGGTGATGCAAAGGTTTGCTGCGCGGTCGCTCCTAATTGATTGCGACGCGCGCATGTGAGGCGGGATCAAAGCAAACGCTTTATTGCCACATCACACATCACCCGGCTGCATTTTCAATTCTACCAATCTGTCCAAACAGTCACATAAAATCCTGCGATGAAGAGATGCAGCGCTCCACCCCTCCTCTTCCTCATTCTCCACCTCTCTCTCTCTCAGCGATTTTTCAAGTGGTAATAAGTGATGCAAGAGCCACCGGGGCAGTATGAAAACACGGATCCGCGGGGGTAAAAGCAACTTCCACAACAACTTGTCAGAGACGTGACGGATGTTAAAGAAGTCAACAGGAGGTGGTGAAATTCAAGTTTGTGTGGCAGGAAATATGTCTGTTAAAGAGAAAACTTGAGTTTTCAATCAGTGGGTGGTTGTTGGTCTTCAGTACCGGCGTCACGTGGAAACGAGCTTTTAAACGAGAACGGCTTGGTGTTTTTGTCCCTGATGGTCCGGTAGACTCGGTTTGATTTTGGACCAGAACTCCATCATCTGCTCCACCTCCAGCTGCTGTGGTTCTGAGTCAAACCAACCTGTTCCCCTCCTGGCCTGTGGGGGCGCTGCACCAAGAACCACTGAAGGAAATGACGCAAAAACCTCTGAAGTCATTGAGTTCAAAGTGGAAACAAAATGGAGTATGGTCAGTTTTTAGTAGTTGTAGGATTTCTCTTGGGCCTTTTATCCCGCTAATGCTAAGCTAATCCGTTTGTTTTGGTTGAACAAGATGCTGAGCTTATTCTTCACCAAATGGAAACAAAAATTGTCACGTTTTAGCGGTTGGAGGATTGTGCTAAAGACCACGACACATTTCTCCTGCTAGCGCTAGGCTAGCATGTTTGTTTGGAGGTATTTAACCAGAATTCCCTGCGCAGAGGTCCACTTCCTGCATTCGTAGTGGTCTCTGGTCCGCTTAGCGTTCAGATATGCATTTGAGCTGAACCAAAGTTCACTTCAGTTAAACTGAGACACAGGTTTGTTTTTTTGGTCTGCTTCAGAGTTCATACTTCTCCAAACGAACCCGACACAAGTTCACTCCGGTTTGAGTGAATCGAACTCCGATGATTAAAGTCAAATTAATGAGAATAAAGTCAAATTATTATGAGAATGGTCATATTTCCAGAATACAGTCGCAATTATAATGACTTTATTCTTGTTTTTGTATTATTTTTACATTTTCTTAGCCTTGCTCTAATACTCCGTTGTAGCAAAATAAGCCAAATTGTCAGTTTTCACCCGGCAGCTTCCAGGGTGTGACTAGATGAAATCTATTTTATTTAGAGGGAATTTATTAAAACACACATGGCTGTAAAGTGGAGTGTTGCTCACAGCTGTGTTTTTCAGCATCCTGCAGCTCTGCGCTGCGCACCGTTACTGTGGGATGTTGGTGTGCAGATCTGAGAGCGAGTCTGTGGGCTGAATGTAATATCAGCAGCACCCCAGTTGGACTCGCCATACTGGGCTCAAACAGAGATCCGCGCAGAAAGAAACAGGACACACACACACATAAACACCCACACACTCGCCAGGTGTGTGATCCGCAGTCTTAGCGAGCCGAATGAGTCAGAAAACAAACCATAACACCGCGCTCGGGCTGCATAATGCATGCCGAGCCAGAACTGGATCTCTGCGGCGCCGTTTACAGAAAACCCCAACAACTCGATGAGATCTGTATGAAAACTTGTGAGTGGGCTGTGCTGTTTGTCAAGTGTTCCTTTGGCAGGGCAGCGGCGGTGAGGGGGCGGAGGGCGGCGTGGGTCAGGGGGGCTGTTGGCTGCTCTCCTCCCTCCTGTCAGCCCCCTCTCTCGGCCAGGCAGACAGGCTGTGTTGGGCGGCCCGGCTCCTCGGTAGCAGATGCGAGCCCTCATGTCAGAGGCAGGCAGTGGCCCGACGGAGAGCCGCTCGTGCTCATACCTCATTGAGCCATCTCCCCTAGCAGATGGCGCGCTGCTGCGGGCGCTCCTCTCCCCGATAATTACCAGGCCTCGCCACAGATGGAAATGTCAGTCAGCCTCACAGGTCCTGGTTCCTGCCACTGCCTCCGTCCACGGCCCCTCTACCTAGGCCGGGCGCTGCCAACACTCACCATGTGTTCGGTGACTGCTGACTAGGCAGGCAACAAAAGAGAAATCCGTCCGCATGAATATTCATGCGGGGATGTTAGGTGGCGCGCTGCGGACCAGCCGGGGCTCGGCCAGTTTGTGACACCAATGTTCAGCCGGTTTTTTCTGTCTTCCACTTTGAAACTCTGTTGCTGTTCAGGTTTCCTAACTTCACACCGACCGACGCTCCTTCATCACTCCTCTGCACGCTGTAGAGCTGGTGTCAAACTCGAGGTCCGGGGGCCAAATCTGGCCCGCCACGCTGTGGAAAGTGGCCGTGGACTTGACACAAAAACTACAACAGAAAAACAGTGGAAAACAAATGTTTTGTTAAATTCACAGAAAGCTTTGTAAACCGTCAAAAAATGGTTATTGTTTTTTTCAGCAACAATATGTGAGAAAAGTCACATTTATTAGTTAAAACCACAAATGGTGGTAAAAAAAAAATGTTGTTGAAAAACAAATCATAACGTTACATTGTACTTTTTACATGATCTTTTTCATAGACTGTAATGTAATTCGGTTGTGGCTTCAATCATGGTAAATTAGTTTACATATTCTTTAGCAGAGTTAATTACGTAACAGCTGCCAGAGTCTTCTGGTAAATGCAACACTTTTTACAGTGCGTAGCTTTATAAAGAACCTTGCAGATAACAGTTGTGTGATTAAAGGCAACCCACTGTGCTTCCTTAGACAGGCTAGGATATTTCTTTGTGATGTTAAATTCTGGAAGTTTTTGAAACTGCTCATTTTTTAGACACCAAAAACATTAATTTATTGGTAAAGCATAACTGACTGTTTGTTTTAAGTGCTTGGAATGTTTTTGGAGATTATAAAGACTCAAATGTAAGAACAAAAACTAGCAAGATGTTAATTTTACGAAACAGATCTCCTTTAAATATGATCTTTTTTAGTCAAATCAAAGCAGGTTCTATCTGTGCCAGCATCTGTATTTTTCACCAATATTATGGTGAAGGTGTTCTTAGGAAAAGCTCATTTATTGTTCGGAAAAGTTATTTGTAAGTTAGTTTTGTCTTATTCCAAGTGTACTGAGATGTTTCCACTAGAAATCAGACTAGAGATACTTGGTAAGACTTTGTGTTTTTGCAGTGTAGCACTGGTGATCTTGATTTGGCCCAAAATGGAAATGATTTCTGACAGCCCTCCTTCAGAAGGTGAAATTGTACCTACTGCTTTGTACAGTTGTGGAACGGCATATTTAGGAGATTAGGATAACTGTGTTTGCAAAATGGATTAATTCTAGCAGATGCCAGGACTAACCCCCACTTATCTGTGATAAGGTGACCAGATGTCTCAGCTTGGCAAAGGAAACACACTCTGAGTTTTATTACTCGGCGCCAAAGCTTCCCCCGAGAAATTTTCTGTGTGCGCGCTCAGATAATCTACCTTCGCAGAGAACAAGGCGACAGGGTTTTGCCTCTTTGTGTGTTTGTCCGTGTTGCCTGGTCGCAGCGAGCCGGAGGAGATTAAACCCAAGTAAATACCTGAGTGCCTGAGTGGCGCAGAGAAATATCTAAATAAGGAGAGGATTACTGGAAATATCGTTTTAGCGAATTTATCTTGCTGTGATTCTTCCCAGTGGAAAACAGCCTGGAAATTATTTTCCCATCAACAAAGAGCTTTGCTTTGGTTATTTTTTCTTTAAAGGAATCGTTTACTACCTTTTCACATTTTCTCACTTCTATTTTCAGCTGTTGCCACAAATTCCCAGCTAAATGTTGGTCTGAACTTTGACTAGGCCATTCTAATCACCTCATAACATCCCTGGGTGTATTTATTTAGGCTGCTACTACTTAAAAACAATATTTAAACAACTTGTCTCTTTGTTGATAAATGACGACGTTTTGAGTTAAATATTTACGTTGATGCTAAATACTTTTGCTAACTTGCTGTTTATTTAGCAAACTGAATATTTAGCTAATTCAGAGCATTAGCTTGCCAGCTAAAGTAAATACTTAGCTTGATAACATAATATTTAGCTTCCTAACTAAATATTTAGTTCAAAGCTAAATATTTAGCCTCTAAATATCAGCTAGAGTAGTTGAGGTTGCTAGGTAGATATTTAGCTTCAAACAATACATTTAAAGCTAGCTAAATATTTAAAGATTAAGCTAAATGTTTACTTTGATGCTAAAAATTTAACATCAAGTCAAAAATTAGTATGCTCAGTGCTAAATATTTAATTTTGAGTTATTTAGCTTGCTCACTAAATAGCTAATTCAGAGTTTAATATTATGTTGAAGCTAAATATTTTAGTTAATTTGCTATTTAGGAAGCTAAATATTAGTTTGCAAGCTAACTAAATAATTAGTTTGAAGTTAATTATTTAGTTTGCTAACTTAATGCTTAGTTTAAATCTAAACTAAATATTCAGCTAACTATGAGCGAAATGTTAAATTTTGTGCTAACTTGCCATTTATCTAGCAAGTTAAATATTTAGCTGTACAATATGTCTGCATGACGGAAAAAATTGTCTCTCAAACGTGAAAAAAACAACTAAGATTTATCTTAATAAATGTTTTATTATTCCTAATATGACAGAAATACAGCAGCAGTATCCTAAATGTTGACTCTTCAGAGCCACAGCCCCTTAAGCATCATGTTGCGCCCAGGTTGCAGGTCTTCTCATCCAGTCAGAACTTTCTGACCACGCTGCAGTGTAGGGTGCAGCGACCCGCTGCAGCACCATTTGCAGGTCAAAGAAGCCCACGTAAGAAGAGAAACCGTCAGCGGTGGTTAGCTGAGCAGGAGAAATGAGTCAGAGTGAAGGATGGCTTTCAGCCGATACGGGCAGCGACATCTTGCTGCTTGCAGAGCGTCGCCGCTGACAGTTTGAAGTTCCAGCCACAGAGCCGCTCTGCAGGCCCGGCTGCTGCTGCAAACCACTGCAAAGAACCTCAGACCAGAACCAGGAAACGTAAACTGGTGATGGCATCAAGGTTCAAAATGCTACATCTATTCAAAAACGACCCAGACTGTTCAAGACGTTACTCAAAATGTTATTTTCTAAACATATTTCTGGACAAAAATGGTAGTTCTTCCGTGTACGTTCACTAGATTTCACATGGAGGAAACCCTGAACTCAGTTTAATTTGGGTTATTTAACCTGTCAAAAGAGGAAAATGTATTCACCGTGTTATTCAGTCACATGTAAATATCAGTTTCAGACTAAATATTTAACTAGCTAAATATTTATTTAGCTTTTGTTAGGGCCAGCTAAATATTTCACTGACAAGCTGAAGATTGAGCTTCAAAATAAATATTTAGCTAGCTTAGAGCTAAATATTTATTTAGAAGCTAAATATTTAGTTTGAAGCTAAATATTTAGATCTAGTTAACAAAATAAATTGTTAGCTAAACATTTTGCTTTAAGTTATACATTTAGCTAGTTCAAAGC